CAAGAAGGACCCAATGGAATTCCCTGGCGAGCGACAAGGGCGAATGGTGACGGCAAGGGCAAGGAGTTGGAGACGCCCGTTCCAGGAATAGTACAAGATCAACGAGATTACAGGTGGCACATGTAACACATAGTAAAGCTTGATGTTACTAACCTTTTCCAAAGTACCAGTGTTGCTTAGAATCCGAAAAAGTTCTCGCTATTGGAATCACAATTACCATTAAAACTTACTTATCAGCACTCCCAACTTTAAAGATTGTCGCAGAGAGGAAAACATCAGAAAACATTTCCATTGATCCTGTGAAAACGACACGAGCATTGTTCCTTGTCTGCATTGCGCCAATCATCAGTATTTGTTGTCCAAGAGCGTTGGGATACTGAATGGAAGAAGTAAACTCACTTTATATACACAAGGTCAGAGCCGGAAATTAAAAGCCGGCAACGAAAAAGAAAAAGTTCGTCCACTCAGTCCCATAGAATAAAACACACCTCATCCACTTTCACAGAAGGGTTATAGGAATATGCAGTAGACCCCGCCCGCAGCACTTCGAGGCGCAGGCGATTCTTCTTGTGCGCAATCAAGGCTGCACCCTGAAAAAGTGCGTCTGTGAAGAGGACGAAAAAACAGCGGATCTGGGAATTACCTTGAACAAAACTGGATTCATTTTGGCAGTTTCTCCAACAACAAGTTGAGCATCCAGAAGTTGTTCTTTAGTGGCAACAATGGTTGTATGATGACCATCGTCCTGACAATACGAATAAAAGTCATGTTCTTCCATCTGTGCAACTCAATTAAACACACGTACAAGAAGGACGTCATAGCTGTTGTGATCGATGACCATAGTATCAGATTCGTCGAACTCAAAACCATGTTGCAAAGCCAATTCGCGAATGGCATAGCCAAGGTTAGGACCTCCAGCTACCAGCAGATTACCTCCTTCATCAACGAACCGAGTGATCTCCTCAGTAGTAATGGATCCACCGAATTCTAAAATAGCAGGCTAGTTGTCACAATTACGATATCACGAGGTCTCTTTGCACAGCGGAGAACTTCGTCTAAATGCTAGAGCCCAAAATGACCACAACTACTTAATTCTATCACTGAATGCTTTACCAGCTAGCTCCGCGCACGCGCATCACACCGAAGGCTTGGGCCCACAAAAGACGGTGGAATGTCAGGCTTACCGAAGGAGTAAGTTTTTCAGTGAAATGCTTAGCTGCCTCTCCGCTTGACACGCGCGGATGGAGCTAACTGGTGTCTGTAAACAGCCACCATGCATGAATGTCAGGTAATTGGCGGCTCATACATTTGCCCTAAGGATTGATGAAAATATGGGTGCTAACTTAGTTGGGGGGGGCACGCGGCGGCGCGGCAGTCTGCTCGCCTGGCATGTTCGGAAATCCGTGGGCCAGGGGGAGTGTAGGCAGTCTAGGGGGGGGGGGGTGGGGGCAGTCACTTGACATGCGTGAAAAGCTGGAATGTTCGAGTTTACACTGTCTCGCTCGAGAGAGCCCAGGTGAGCAGACTGCCGCGCCGCCGCGTGGCCCCCCCCCAACTAAGTTAGCACCGTTTCATTTCACGTTCATCCCAAACATCCACTGTACATTCTTGAGAACTCTAGGGAGTGGAGCGGCTAAATTGCATTTTGGGTTAAGGATAACAACGCAAAGAAGTGTGCTTGAAATAAAAAAGTATTATCTTGAATTTGGTTTCGAGTGACCTCTATTGTTCATACGCATCATTGTTATCAGTCCTTATCAGCAGTTATCTCACTTGCCGAAACCAACAACTCACTGCTGCTGGGACGCCCACTGTGAATTACGTGAAATTTGCATTCGAGCGCATCTTGTCAGATCTTGTCAGCCGTTATCACTTTCCGCTCTTTCATGCAAACATGTCCTTCCACGCTTCGGACCTTCCTCTTGGACAACCGTCACTGCTGCTTAGACCTGCGCTACAAAATTTCGTGAAAATTTTGCATTCGAGCGCCTCTTGTCAGCCCTTATCAGCCTTTATCGTTTTCTGACCCCCATCAAATATGTTCCCGGTCTGACCCCTACATAATACTGAAATTACAGCGTTCCATCTTTGCAGCGAAGCGCGCTATGAATTTCGTGACGCACACAACACACAGACGGCCGCGCACACACACAGACATACTTAGCGAATTATATATAGTAGGATCTCAGGCCTTTAGAATGAAACAGTAGCTGTGTAGCTCTAGAGGTCATGCATTTTGCTGTACCAATTTGGGCGCATTGAGATAACTTCAGTTTTGGAAGAGGAGGAGAAGGAGGAGTAAAGAAATTTAAGTTAGCATACCGGGTTTGTTGTTCTAACGGCGGGGCATCTGCTAATGCAATTGCTATTAACAAAAGAGAACATGTTAGAGCCTGTCATATATACTGAAGCTCTCCACCCAGCAACCTATTTTTTATTCTACCTCTTTCTTTTTTTTTCCACATCCAGAAAAAGTGGCGCACCACAAGATATCGGGCTTCCTCTAGACTTAAGCCTCGGGGGTGGGCAGGAGCTACGAAAAAGATGAAATAGCTCACTCTGGAGTCCCCCTTCCTCCGCCAAGGCTTAGTCCCTTTTCTTAACAGAAAAAATCGTTTGACGCGGTTTTACTTACGTGCGTTATCGTCGCATGCTCGCATCTCTTGCGATGGGGCCTTGTTTTGTTTGTTTTGTTGTTTTTTTCAAAGCTTTAGATGAATGTTGGTTCTTAACATATTCTGGTTTGTTAGCTGTTAGAAGGCATTGCTCTTTTTAGCACGTTTTGTTTCGTTAACACATCTGGCTAGCAGCAGATGCCCGCCGTCGGACGACGTCGGACAACAGTCCCACTATACCTTTTCAAACGTTTATGAAAAAAGGTTTTTTGGCTGTGTTGTGCTTTTGGCATGAGAGCTCCCGCTTCACCCCCACCACACTTAAGCCATGAAACACGTACCTTCCACAGACGGCGCAAAAATGATCAGATGATCATAAGTTCTTTCACCAAATTTGATCAAAGAGAGTGAAGGATCGTCCGCAGTACGGAAAACTAGGTGATGGCCACGATCTGAAAAGGCAATCAATCAGGAAACAATACTTAACACGACCCATTTTTTACATACCTTGAAGTGAGCGGAAGAACGTCGAATGGGTTTCTCTAGCACTCAGACACTCGACCAGCACAAGGATTCGGTCCGCATTTATGAGAGGAATGAGCGTGGCAATGAGGAACAGAAACCTCATTTTATCCAAAACCCTAGAATATCACAGAAGTGCAGTAATGGTTCCAGAAACGAAAAAAAACGCACGAGATAGTCGAGCAATGTTATGCCACGTATGACAACAGCGCCGTTACAGAAAACAGGACAACTGCTCCTCGAAATGCACACAACTATCCGGGACCGTATTCAGAAAACCATTGGCCACAACATGCTATACGAATACTCAAGGAAGTAACCCTTATTAAGGCACACCACCAGCTATTCTCATAAATTCTGACCCTTACCATAATACAAAAGGGGGTGGGGCTAAGGAACAGTTGTCCGGTGCTACCGCAGTGTGCAACCCCGATTCATGGACGATAAAACAACAACAGAACGTTTTTAGGGGAATTAGTGAGAGGCTGTACAATGAGCTAGTACCTTGTAATGCATAATTGCAACTATACGGTGTACAAACAAGCTTATTATCGCCCATGGACAGATTTCCTAAGTATTTAAGAAACGTTATTCAGTTGTTTCACCGGGGTGTGGTTCACTAGGACAAAAGCGACTTTTCGCGTTTTGCGGCACGAAACATTTTCCGCTGCGGGAACCTCGGGTCCACCGCTGATCGTT